ACTCACTCCCAGCCGGGTCTCCGCTCAGGCTCCGGCTGCCCGGGCAAACGGGAGTCGTCTCCCGCCCCAGGCTTGGGAGCCAGCAACAAGCCGCTCTCAACTCCGACTCTGCTAAGGCAGCGGGGGAGCCAGCCGAGAGAGCGAGGACCAGAAACCTCCGGCAGGTCGCTTCGGGCGCGGTGGCGAGGAGCCCACGCGCGTCACAGCGCGATTCGCGACCGGGTACCCCCGGCGCGCCAAAGAGCAGTCGGAGCCATCTCCAGAGGCGCCCAGAGTCAGTCCTTGCTCACACCCCGGGAGCTCGGGTTTCTCTTTTTTTCTTAACAACTCTGCGCAAGGTCATTAGTCACGAAGCCTCCGCCTGAAACCGCAGCAGCCGTTCGCCCGCGGAGGCGAGGGCTGAGCCGTGCGCGCCGCGCGGTGCCCAAGTTTGGGTTCTCAGCCGCAGAGTCGGTGCCTTTTCTCACCTGCATTCGGCCCGCATGTCGGAGCAGTGGGATCTGCAGCGCTGTGCGCGATTCAGGGAGGAGATTGCAGCCTCTCTCTCTCCCCGCGCTCACTCTCTCTCTCTCCCTCCCTGGATCCCTCCCCTCCCTCCCCCTCTCTCCTCCCTCCTCTCCTTTCCCCTTTCCCCTTCTCCCACTCGGTCTCTTGCTTGCTCACGCTCTTCCTCCCTCACAGTCCCAAAGCAGGGAACTCGAGCTGAACTTGATCCCTTCGTAGTTCAAAGGTGAGCCCACCGGGCTGTGAGCACTGGGGAGGTTAGCCTGGAGAAAGCGCCCCCCGCCCTCCAAGGCAATTAACAAAGATGCTCAATTCTTTCCAGATTTCCGAAGAAAAGCAAAAGGCGTTTGAGGGGTGAGGGGCGGGGTGGAGTCAGAGATTGCTGCCAAGTAGCTTTAAAAAAAAAATGCCCTGCTTGCCAAAGGGGGGAAAAGTGCCAGTCGATCGTTGCCTCGGAAGTGCCCTGGCGCGGCGGGTGAATTCCGCAGTTGTCTGGTCCCTTTTTCGTTTCTGGGAGGGCTTTTGGAGGGGCTCCTGCCGCCCTCCCCTGGCTGCTGGGGCTCGGGGACACAGAACAACGATTGGGCAGCTAGGGTTCGCAGGAAACCCGCAAGTTTGCCCAAAGTGGCGGTTGCTGCTGGGAGCTCGCCCGCTAGCTCCGGGCTCGAGCTCGTCTCTGGCGTGGTCGTGGCGGCGGCGGCAGCCGAAACAGCAAACTCTCAGAGCTGGGGGGAGGGAGGTCTGGAGGAGGCGGGCGGGAGGAACCCCGGGCAGCCCCGCGCTCCGGAAAGCCCGGCTCCCGCTCCGGACCGCTCAGAGAGGGCTCAGCCCCAGGCAGCCTTCCCTCCGCCAAAGCCGGCTCCCGCCTCCCCTCCTTTCGCAAGTGCAGCCGCTGTCAGCTCGCGGGCGCTCTTTCCCTCCCTCGGGCTGGGAAATTTCCTCCTGACTCTGACTAATGCCGGGTGCGTGTGTGCGCGCGCCAGCGCCAGTGCCAGAGACCCACCCCGACCACCCGACCCTTACCGCCCCTCGCCCCCCCACCCACACACGCTCAAAAGTGTCTGGGTTCGCGGTAGAGCATGCTTGATGAGGGCATGGTTACGGGTGCTTTGTGGAGCCCGCGAGCGCCCAGAAAACCACCTTGGTGTTGTAAGAAACGATGGCGGGGTGCAGTGGCTGGGAGCGCCCAGAAAACCACCCTGGTGTTGTAAGAAACGATGGCGGGGTGCAGTGGCTGGGAGAGCACAAAAACTCTAGAGAGAGCAGGAGAGGGTGGGAGCCCTTTACGGAGCATCAACTTCAGAGGGCCGGGGTATCGCCGGTCTTTGTTTGAAAGCTTGGCATTCCGGTTCTTGGGCCTGCTTACGGAGTAGACGGGGTGTGCGCGCGCGCCTAGGGAATAAACACATGTTGGAAGCCTCGATCTTGTTTTCCGAGAAGACAGCTGCAGCCTTTCGGTACTGAAAAAGTGTAGCGTCACCTATCTGGATAACAGGGAAATAAACTTTAATGACAACTTTAGGTACCAGAGTGTCCCCAGCGCCTTTTGACTTTGTGCCACTTGATCGCTCGTGGTATTCCCTCACGCTAGGCTTCCCCGATTCTCAATCACGCCCACTGCAGCCTGCCTCAGAAGACCTCGCTGGGGGTGTTGCTTCGAAATCACTTAAGTGGATGCTAAAAGCGGGGACTCCGCCAGGATCGGGAGGGTTAAAGATCATAAAGACCACTGGGAAAATTCTTAGAGCCTCAAAGGAGACAAGGGTCTGCGGCTGGGATGTAGGTTCTTTTGCTCAGTCCTTGCGAATCCCAGGGCCTCCATTTAAGGAGCATTTGAGAGGGAAAGGGGGTGGGGAAGCAATCCACCCAGAGTGGGCACGCTGCCTTGATGAGTCCAGTGTGGGAAGGCAGAATGATTTAAACAAGACAAACACCAATAAAGTCTAGGAGCAGATGTAGCGCGCGGTTGTTTGGGCGGGCGCAGCGTGTAGGAAAGAGGAGGGGGCGAGGAGAACAGAGATTTCCTTGCTGTCCCCAAGAGGAATGGCGAGACAAAAGGGATGGAAGTGCAGTGGATGCCAGGGGAGAATTTTCCACTAGGCTAGAGCGGCAGGCCTCCGGGGGTGGCGGCCGCTCCGCAGGGGCCAGGATCGGGAACCGGGCCTTCCCCCTTCCCTTCCCCCGCCACCGGAGCTCCTCTGCTCTATATCTGCAGCATCAGCGAGAAAAGCGCCGCGCGCAGACTCAGTGCGCACCGCCGCAGTCCCGAGCCGGGGGAGGAGGGCGGGCGGGGGTTGTCGTGGCGTGTTGTAGCGCCGCAACGCCTTCCCGGCCGGCTAAGTAGCAGTCACACCAAATGCCCCTTATACTTGCCTTGAACTTGGGTTTATACGGACGCTCGCCCACCGTTTCCCCTCCCTCCCCCAAGTGCGAAGTGGCGCTAGAGGCGTCTCGGCTGGGCGGCCCAGTGCCAGCGCATTCCGATGCACGGCAATATGGTGCAGCGCACTCCCTCCCCTCCCTGTCTCCACTAGATTTTGCAAACTTCACGCGGTCGCGTGGTCAGAGACGTGGCGCATTCCCTGCTCGCTCTCTCCAGACCGTAAACTTAAACGAGCCCCTGCGCGTCTCCAGGCATTTGCCCGCCGCGCCGGCGCGCGCTCGCCAGGCGCACGCTGGCGGCGGGGGAAGGACTGGGCGGCTTTCCCCTGCGCGCGCTGCACATTTTTTTCCCGGCGGACCGGGGGCTGCGGCGCGTCCTTCACAGTGGAGTGGCTTTCTCTTGGCAAGCGGGAGGTCGTCTCCAGCGCGCCCGTCCGCCCTACCCGCTTCCCTAGCTGCCGCGGAGCCAAGCAGCGTGGGAAATGGGTCCGACGTGTGCGGCATGGAGAGCAGCGCGTAGACTGGCCAG